CATTACAAAGTTTCGAATTTCAATTTATTACGATTCGCAACAGTGTGTTTCTTTGGGGGCGACCGAAAGAACAAATTTATTAATTATACAAAATTTTTGCTATTATTTGTTGTTCCGGGTTTTGTTTTGCAATCATAAATTCAATGGATTTTCTTAAAATGTCCAGCTAAATTTATTAAACGCAATCTATTTGAATTTTATCTCTAGACATTACTGGCAAAAATTTAAACTAATCAGAAGAATACTTGGAAGAATAAATGCAATTATATAAACAAATAAAATGCATCATATATGTTTCATATCTTTAAAAGATTTGCTTATCACTTATTATAAAGTGATGAGATGAAGAATTAGCCGGCGTTATCAATGTGTGAAATTAAATATCAACGAACTCACACGATTATTAATTTAACAAACAAACATTTAAAAAAAAAATTGATTGGATTTGCATAATGAATAAACGGTTAGAACTCAAACCCCCTCTTTATAATTATTATTGGATAAGTTTGGACAAGCCCAAATATTTCAGCGAAGAAATTCCTAACTCGTCTTGGATATAATTACTAATAATTGGATTAAAATCTGGTCGATGAGGTGGCCTCTTTATACCGAACCCGAACATTATAATTTCTAATACCCCATATCGGCCATTAATTTTTTGTTGATTTATTTACGTGTTTACGTTTCAGAAGAATTTTAATTAAAATTACCAAAAAAAACTTCCTACAAGGTTTTACTTTATAGTATACGGAAATTCCACCCAACGCCATCTGTCGAAAAAATCTTCCATGTGTAATAACAATGATAGAAGTTCATATATATGTATTATACCACCATTATTTCCGACCTGACCAACACACACATGCAGCGAGCTACGCCATATTCGTGAAAATTATAAAATAACGAAATGCCTAAAGGTTCATAAGCAAGCAAAGATTAAAGGTAACGATAGTCATTAAAGTCGTACCTTTATTCAGCACGATGGGTACCGCCTAAAGTGTCGACGAGAGTGCAATTGCCCGACGCACGCAATGGTCTGTAACATTCGGATTTGTTAAGCGCAAGTTTATCTATACAGTGTGTGTGTGTGTGTATGTGTGCAATTATTACATATTTGATACAGTGTAACTTTTGAAGTACATACCATTAAACCACAAAATAAAATACCTACGCATACTGATATAGACTTAGAAATAAATGTGTCTTGGAGCTTATAATATGTGTAGTAGATCTTCATTTTCCAACTTGTAATACATGTGTTGTCAGCATTGAGGTTTTCAGAAACACCCTAGCGGGAAATTTGGGAGTTATTAAAAGGTTGCTGACAACATACAAAACTGTACAACTTTTGTATTTACACCTTTTTTCTACCTGTGAAGGTAAAGGCTGTGGGTGGGGTGTCAATATATAAAAAACACCCTGTACAAATAAGTGGATTATTGCGGAACTTATGGGTGGACCTCTGCGGGGCGAGCGCAGCGAGTTCCGCAGCCATCTACTCACCAATATACTGTAGAACTGTTTAAATAAGACACTCCCCTGAAACGTGTAGTTTTTGAACTAATGAGAAAAATTCACAACTGAGTGAATCAGGTTAGTATTGTACTTGAATAACATATTGATGAATAGATGGCTGCGGAACTCGCTGCGCTCGTCCCGCAGAGGTCCACCCATAAGTGCCGCAACAATTCACTCATTTGTACTTGAATCACATGTCACATTATGTTACTAGTTTGATAAAGTAACATTACTAATACCTGTTAAAAGGCAAATTGACAAAAAGTGGATAATCTTACAAATTCTGACTTTATATAATAAGTAATTGTTCAAGTACAAATAAGTGGATTATTGCGGAACTTATGGGTGGACTTCTGTGGGACGAGCGCAGCGAGTTCCGCAGCCTTCTACTCACCCATATATTGTTAAACTATTCAAATAAGACACTCACCTGAAACTCGTAGTTATTGAACAAATGAGAATAACTGACATTTGAGTGAGTCAGGTTAGTATCGTACTTGAACAACGTATTTTAATGAATAGATGACTGTGTGTAGAGGTCCACCCATGAATTCCGCAACAATCCACTCATTTATACTTGAATAACTTGTCACATTATGTTACTAGTTTGGTGAAGTAAAAAATTACTAATTCCTTTTGAAAGGTAAATTGACAAAAAGTGGATAATCTCACAAATTCTGACTTTATATAATAAGTTATTGTTCGAGTACAGAGTGTTGTTTTATTTATTGACACCCCACCTACAACTTTAACTTTTACAAGTAGATAAAAGATGTGAATACAAAAGTTGTACAGTATTGGCTAAATTTTTAGAATCCATTATCAGAAACAAAAATTGAATATCAGAAATGTAAAATGTTGCATGCTTTCAGCTTTTTTCAAATGGGATGCCCTATATTTGGTTCTATATTCTTAAAGAGCACAATTTCTCGATTCCAAAAATATATAGCTTATCTATATTTGGTTGAGCCGACTCCAACATATAAGGTTTTAAAAATTTTAAAAATACCATCAGATAAACAAAGTACCTCAAATTTTACCTGCAGCTTTCACCTGTATAGGTAGAATGGTTCACAAAATCAGTAGTAGGATAATATTTTTACAATTTTTGGAGCCGAATATATAAGAGACTGTTCAATCAAATATAGGCAAATTATATATTTTTGGAATCGGGACATTGTGCTCTTCAAGAATATAGAATGAAATATAGATATTTTAAAAAGTACTTTTAAAAGCTCTCGAAATGCATATGAATTATTAATGGATATAACAAATTATAAGCCAATAGATGGTTGTTCATTGTATGATTTTCATTTTAGGCATGTAGCAAAAATAAAAAAAATGAGGTTGAATTTTTCGGATGCTGACAAAGTATCGCTGGTTGTTGAGGCTATTGGAGATAACAATATAACTTCAGCAATTGAAGCTGCAAATATTCAGAATCCGGAAAATTTGGCTTCAAATTTTGAAAAATAGAACAAAATTTGCAATTTTTGTAAAAAAAAGCGTCTAAGAAAAAAAAAACAGGATAACACAAAACAAGAACAAATAGGTAACAAATATTATAATAAATTTGAGAAAAAGAAATTTACGAGAACTGAAAATGTAAAATTGGTTGAAATCAAAAACAATTCCTTAAAATTTAATAAACAAATTTACATAAATAGAAAAAGGGTCAATGCTTTTATTGATTTCGGTAGTGACTGTTCATTGTTAAATTTTGAGACAGCTCAAGTATTAGGTTTAAAAGTAATGTCATTGGATGAGAATGTCACATTGTCTGGATTTTTGGGACAGTTGTGTCAGAGTATACTGAGGTTCTCACTCAGATAGATGATGTTCAATTGAAAATAAAATTTTATATTATAAGGGATGAGCATTTGAAAGAGTGATATTCTTATTGGGAGAAATTTCACTGAGGATTATTTACTATCGAATTGATGAAAATCTTGTTTTTAAAGATCGTACGCGAGTTTCTAAGTGTTTATTAGATATTAAGCATGGTCCTTTATCAAAATGTCAAGAAATGGATTTAAATAGGGTTTTGTTGAAATATTGTGTCATTGTGAATTTAAATAATCTAGGCATAGCACATTCTGTATATTTAACAATCGAGTTGTTTTCTGATAAGTCAGTGACTCATTGTCCTTATCGTTTCAATGAAAAGGATAAAGAGATTTTGAGAAATATCATAAAAGAATTGTTAAAAGCTGAAATTATTCGAAAAAGCAACTCGCCATTCTCGAGTCCTGCCCTCCTCTCAAAAAAAGGTGAGCACGAAGAGGATGGTGGATTATAAAGCATTAAATGAAATAACTAAAAAAAATCAGTGGCCTATGTCATTAATAGAAGAAAATATCGACAATTTAAGCGGATATAAATACTTTACAACTCTTGATCTGGCATCAGGGTATCACCAGCTACCAATGGATCCTGTATCCATTCCTTACACTGCGTTTATTACTCCGGAAGGACAGTACGAGTTCGTACGTGTTCCTTTTGGATTATGTAATGCACCAACAGTTTTTCAAAAGTTTATGACTGAAATTTTCGCACTCTTAAGAAATTTTATTGTGATTCCATATTTGGACGATATCATGATACCTTCAAAAACCATTGAAAAGGGATTGTAAATTTTAAGTAAGGTACTGGAGATCATTAAAGAGTTTGGACCTACATTGAGAATGAATAAGTCATCTTTTCTGACAGAAAATATAACTTAGGTATTTAGGCTATGAAATTTCTCTTAAACAAATATCACCATCAAAATCAAAAACTGAGGCAGTAGAACATTTTCCTGAAAATCAACATCAGCTGAGACAATTCTTAGGTTTAGTAGGGTATTTTAGGAAATTCATAGCGGATTTTGCACGTATTACGGCGCCACTTAATAAATTATTAAGAAAAAACAGTCGTTGGCAATGGACAGATCAACATAAAAAAATTGTTGAAAATTTAAAACTAAAAATATGTCCTAAACCAATATTAGCTATTTTTAATCCATCATTGCCAACAACTGTATATACTGATGCAAATCGAGAAGGATTTGCTGGAATTTTGATTCAAAAGATTGATAATAATGAAAACCCGAGAGAAAACTCAAAAGCATATTTCAGTAAACAAACCAATAATACCAAAACCAAAAATTAATATTGTTGGGTAACAAACAACTTAAAAACTAATCATTGAGGTTGTCAGAAACACCCTAGCGGGGAAATTTAGGAGTTATTAAAGGGTTGCTGACAACAGTGTTTGCAGAATCAGGGTTGCTAGAAAATAGTTGTCAGGGTAGAATTCATTATTATGTTCTTATGTCTTTGAATGATATATGGTCTCAATTTTGTAAAGAAAGAAATGAATTGAAAAAATGAATGGACGTGATACCTATATGTTTTAATTAATTTCGTGACCGTTCAAGTTAACAATCAGCCACAATATGTGATAATTTATCTGTTGGTTAATTTATTTTTGTATTGTTTCAGGGCGTCAAACAGGCTGCCATGTGATGCATCGCAATGCCCACGTCGTCTACGGCTCCTGAGCCGACGACGCGGCCCGAAGCCGCTATGAGTCCCGAACAAGAGGCTTCGCCACCCCCGGCAGCACCGGGGGCATCACCACCGCCACCTCCGACGCGACTTCCGTCACCAGCGGCCTCTACCTCGGACGTGGAACAATTCGCTGGCAAAATCGTCTACAATCCAGATGGTTCGGCGTACATCATCGAGGATTCTGACAGCGATTGCGAAACGCCGGCAGCTCAAGCTCCAGAAAATGGTCCCCCTCTACAGGCTGTGTACGTCTCGCGTATGCTGAGACAACCTAGTCGACCTTCTGAGCTTCCCGCGGTCCATAGTTATCGGGTGGTTGCTTTAAGGGACGCTAGGCCGCCGAGGCCCGCTTCTTTGCCCGTTAAACCTATACTAATGTGCTTCGTATGTCGGTTATCTTTCGGGTTTGCTAGATCTTTCGCTAGTCATGCGAGCGCGGAACACGGGGTAGTATTGCAAGACGCGGAACGTGAAGTTCTTGCGCAAGACTGCGGAGCTATACTACAGTGCGTGGGTGCCGAAAAGCGACCGGTAGTTTCACTGTTGGAACCTTTGGGTAGCCCTATAGTCTCCGAACAGCAAATGGTACAACAACAGACCTCATTACCCAGTAGAGTAGATATGTTGCAGACGCAACAGCATCAACAGCAATCGAATCCGGGTAAATCTCCGAGTCCCCCTTTTGCGTCGCCACCAGCATTTATGACCGGTACGACGATAGGAGTATGTCCTGAACACCTCCAAGGCAGGCCCTCGGGGGTAGACTGTCAACGCTGTGAAATGATTCTCGCCTCAGGAAGGTTAGGTCCCGCAGGCCTCGCCAACGTCCACAGTAGAAACTCTTGTAAAACATTAAAATGTCCCAAATGCAATTGGCACTACAAGTACCAAGAAACATTAGAGATTCACATGAAGGAAAAACATCCGGAAGCCGAAACTAGCTGTATATACTGTATAGCCGGACAACCTCATCCTCGGTTAGCCAGAGGTGAAACGTACACGTGCGGTTACAAACCTTACAGATGCGAAGTGTGCAATTATTCTACTACAACCAAAGGCAATTTAAGTATTCACATGCAGTCAGATAAGCATTTGAACAACATGCAAGAGCTGCAAAATGGAGGCGGGCCGAATGGAGAAGCTAGACAAGCTTCACCGAAAGCTCCCACCATTCATCACTCACCGGTCAGTTCGGGAGGACACAAACCAAAACCCAGTTTTCGATGTGACGTATGTAACTATGAAACAAACGTGGCTAGAAATTTGAGGATACACATGACAAGTGAAAAGCATACACATAATATGTTGGTTTTACAACAGAACGTCAAACACATGCAGACTTTAAGTGCTTTACATCATCAACAACTTCCTCAACAGCATATGGAAAGCTTATACGGAATGTATCCAGGCTTGGGAGATAAACCAGAAGCTGCTCTCGCAGATATGGCTTACAATCAAGCTTTACTCATTCAAATGATGACGGGTGGTCAACTACCTAATCATGCGGGGCCTGCCGAAATGGCTGCCCACTCCGACCTGGGTCTCAATCCCGAAACAATGGAACCTCCACCGGAACCAGCAGATCCTGACCCAGAAAAGACTTATCAATGTTGCGTTTGTAACATATTTCAAACTGATTCTCTTGAAGAATTAGGGAGACATTTAGCTTTAGACAGAACCAGACTGAGGGAGCAAGAAATCCTAGCTGTAGTCGCAGGACACTACGTTTGCAAGCTCTGCACGTACAAAACGAATCTCAAAGCTAACTTTCAGCTACACTGCAAGACTGACAAACACCTTCAAAGGCTGCAACACGTCAACCACGTCAAAGAGGGTGGACCTAGAAACGAATGGAAACTAAAATACGCTTCGGCTCCTGGTGGAGTTCAAATTAGATGTAATGCATGCGACTACTACACCAATTCAGCACACAAACTTCAGCTACATTCGGCCGCTGGAAGACACGACGCCGGCGTGGCGCTACTCAAACATCTGATGGAGAAATGTGCACTTTTGCAAATGAGCCAACCGAGAGTGTTTCATTGTTCGCTTTGCGGGTTTTCCGCGACCAATCGTTTACCGTTGTTGCAACACGTGAAATCTTTGAAGCATCTTCATATGGAGCAACTTCACCAGCTTCAAAGGAGAGCGGAAGGCAAGGAGTCGTCGCCTGAGATTGGGGAAGTGTTTCATGTTGTGCCTGGGCCAGTTGATCAGAACCAATCGCAAAGACAAACACCGGGTAAGTGTTTTTTTTTCTAGAGGGTTGTGAGTAAAAATTGAGTTTTCAATGTATGAACTGTTTGTAGAAGTTGAAGCAAAACGTTCATTTTTCTACATAATGTAGGTATAATAACTTTTCAGAAAAACCGTAAAAACATATTTCGTGATTGGTTAACTTTTTTCGCAATCATTTTTTTTATTTGCCATAACAATCGTTTCAAAATCAATTATTTAATTAAATTTAATTTATAGTTAGCAAATCAAAAAATGAAATAAATAATTAAATGAAACTTTTAACAACTTTTTGTTCTTTCTTGTTTTGCAATAATTTTTAATTTAATATATATTTTTTTATTTGCCATTAAACACTTATATTAATATGTAATTCAATTTGTAACACGTGAAAATTGGATTGGCTTTTCACAAAATTTCAACACTGAGATGTCGAAAAAATTTCTTCTGTTTTCCAGTGATGTCAAATCTAATAGTGTCATAATGTCAATATAGTTAGTTTCCCCAACGGGTATATGTAGTTTGAATGCTATTCTTCTCAGAAATTTGTGTCGAATTCTCTCCACCCTTTTTCTATGTACATCATAGCATGGTTGCCAAACGCAGCTGGCATATTCCAGGATTGGGCGGACAAGAGCACAGTAAAGCAACTTGAATGTAAAAATATTCTCAAATCCTCACAACGTTCGAAAGACAAACCCTAGCAAATGCATTGCTCTGTTGAAATCATTGATGAAGCAGTTGAATAAGAAAGTTGAGAGATGTCCGCCTTGGGGAACACCTGATGTAACTATCATTTCAGATGCTTCTTATTTTTACTGTCTGCGTCCTACCTCTCAACATATTTTCAAACTAAGTAGCTTTCCATATACTCCAATGGCTTCTAGCTTTTCCAACAAGATGCCATGATCAACCCTGTCAAAAGCCTTGGAGAAGTCTGTGTAGATGACATCAACTTGAGACTTATTTTCCAAGGCTTCCAACAATAGATTGGAGATTGTTGATCTTGATTTCACAAAATTCCGAAAAGATTTTCTTGTCTGTCAACTGCGCTTGTATAGAATTAATATAACTTTGATGACTGGAAGATTACACTGTTGCCTTTAATTTGAGAAAACAGCATAGTCTTTCATCCATCAAGTGCAAAACTGAGAGACCAAAAGCCTCGTAGACATCCACACATGAGACACCAGTGATATATGCATTCCCAACCAACATTTGCTTGTTATCGATACCAATCGAAACGAAAACATGTTCACCACTGTTAACTGGAGTGATTAGCTGATGACATGAAAGTGAACTCCTGACCCCAATGAGATCACCAGATCTGTCACATATTTTGATAGTACCTAAAATGCTAGTGTTGCTGTCATTGTTTGCTGGTTGAGAAAATTTCAAGAGAGCTTTCATGATTGGGCCCTCTGCCTACTACGATGAACAAAAGGCCTGAAAACTGAAAATGGTGTTGAGTGGCCAGAAGTCATCCTTGTGGGGCAAGTCTCACAACCTCCAACCTTAAAGTTTCTAGTTTGTCTTAGTGGGCAATTCATCCAGAACCAATAGCTTAGGTATTTTCAGATATTTTGGCATTTTCTTGAAAGATTATTTGTGGTAACCACGATCAACACGCCCCAAGAACAGCCATTTCTTAGCAGGTACCTACTCCTCGAAACAAACCACCTGAAGAGGCTGCCTTGCCTTTGATAACTTGTTTTTTATTGCTAAGCGTTTGTATGGGCTGGTTTTGAACTGCTAGTTTAGGATCTGTATAGCTAGGTGCTAGCTGACGTTACACACATAACCTCAATGACATGTTTGTCCCCCTATCGAAAGTCACGTTATGTCATTGGTGACAAGCTAGCGCCTGTGTGTGAAATAGACTTTTCAAATGCTTTGTTTGTCCCCCCAACGGAAGTGAGGTTATATGTGTCAGATAGTCCCTAGTTAGGTAAAACTGTCTGTACCATTGCATTATTCACAGCTCTTTGAACCCTATTGATGATGACGTAGCTATCAGTAATCCTGCACAATTTTGTCATTATTATGAAGAGAGTGAAAGTTCGACCGCTGCACGCAATGATGGAATGAGGAGAGATTTTAGACGTGCTTTCATCTGGAATGTGGCATCAGTACAGTCAAGTACATGATAGTGCAGTTCACACCCGTGTCCACACGTCATTCTACGTCAGGGTTTTGAAGGTGGTATTGGTACGAAGACATAAACGCCGCGTAGCGAACTATCACGTTGAAAATTAGTACATGACCACATGCACTTTCAAACGACACGATAAATTACACTTTTTGCCCACACACATACGATTTTTCCTTTGAAACTGATATGCCACACGTAATCACATGGTAAATCAGTTAAGTGTATGGAATATGACGCTTTTTTGCCACGTCGTTCTTTCGCGCATGCTAACGGCCACATCCCAACATGCACGTGTGTGTATGCCGGCCTAATAAGTTACAGTGATAGTTGAATATAACCATGCGCATAAAACAAAAAGATCCAAACGTTGAGACACGAACCAATTTCCAGCGAAAGATACAAAATTTTCAGGAAAAGATAGAGTGACAACTGAAGTGCTGCTATCCATAGACATAATGTCTAAAGATTGCGAAAAAAACAGAGAAATAGAATAATTACCTCGTAGTTTTGCTCTTCAAAAAACTATTCCATCAAAAACTCTATGTCCCTTTGGAGTACGTACTTCACAGTCTTCATCTTCATCTCGATATATTCCAGTTTATCTGCAAAAAGTAGGTAGTTTAATTTCAACTACCTTCCTATATCGTTCACAAGGGGAATAAATAATTTTGGGCCCAAATGGGACACTTGCTTGAGGCAAACCCGATATTACATTTATTGTAGAGGAGAGGAAACCACTCAACCTGGCTTGCTGAGTACGGCCCTGTAGATAACATGACAACCACGACAATACTGAGCCCCTAATATCAAAATCTTCAAATTTATTCAATCATACCCCTTGGTCCAGCAAATCAAAAGCGTAGCTGAAATCTTTTTATATGAAATGCGTCTCATAACCATCATCCAAAGCGCCTACGATAAAGTTTGTATAAGTAGAAAGGTAATCCATAGTAGAACCACAATTCAGAAACACATGCTGTTGCTCAACAATAGTGTTTCAGAAGAGTCCCTCCATTGCAGGACTGGCAAAACCGAGGGCAAAACCATTTTCTCCAAAACCTTGGTACTGGCTGATTGTATACGAATAGGCCTGTGGTTGGCAATATGAGAATTATAACCTTTTTTGGAGAATAGGGGTGACACATGAATGTTTCCATCTATCTGGAATTATGCCTAGAAAGAGATTCACAGCTCACAGAGTGAAACTGCACACCCTTTAAGCATCAAGTTTGGTATCACATCAAGACCAGCCCCTTTTTTGACATTCAACAATAACAAGACATTTAACAAACTGTCGAAGGTTAGTTCGATCACATTTATTGGGTCAGTAAGAGCATTCTGAAAATGTCTATGTCTAACCAGTTAATCACCTTTCACAGTGTTAAAATTACTATAAATTGAGTTGAAATGGATTACAAAATGCTTAGATATTTCCTTACCTTTTTCAGCATGCTCATCCTGCAGGAACATATTCTCAGGAATTTGACCCTCGCTACCTGTTTTATACCTGAAATTCTCCACATTCCCACCTATCTGATGTTTAACAGACACATCATATACCCACTATAACAAACATTACTTAGCTTCTTATATTCCGTCTGCAAAGCAGCAAACTCAGTGTAATGACAGTTGAAGCCAGACTGGGAAGTAGTCGGGTTGCCGAGCTATGTGACCTTGAAGTAGGGTACAACTAAAGTTTTATGATTGATTCTAGTACTTTATGATACACTGAATCATAATATGAGGGGTGCCAGAATCGCACTTTTAGGCAACTTGAAATATAGTTGTAGCAGCAGTATATTGACCCATTCATGCAATAAAATACAACAACAATCATAATTTGTAATCAACTACTACAACCTAGTGAGTTTCTTCCATACAAGTTGATCATTATTGGTACTGATATAATCCCAATTGAATTACAAACTCCTGGCGTTGTAAATCCCTCGGATTTGGAAACTCACCATGAATAAGCAAACGTTATAATTGTAGAGCAGGCTATTCGTCTGTCAAAGATAGAGTCTGTTGACAAGTCAAATTCTCAGATATAGCAGCAAGAGTTTATAATCTGGTAACCCAAGCAAACTCATTGTTAGCAGTACATTGTCTCACTGGCTGTGATAGCACTTCACAATTTTTTGGAATTTGGAATAAAACTATACAAGTTCTGAGATCTGGTATTGAAAAAACGTCAGTTGGATTGGAAACCGCCAAGTGTCGGAAGTTCGCAATGACACTGATATAGGAAAATGGGACAACTTGCCCCAAAACTGGGACAAGTTTGCTGAAGATAAAAAATGCAGAAAATTAATTATAAGGTTTGGACTTATCTCCATTTGGTAACAAAGAGGGGGTAGAATTTAGGAACTGCGGATAGATTTTCAAGGATTGCAGATAAATTTCAAGGATTGTCGGGGATTTCCATTGTGGTTTTTGGGAAGTAAGAAGAAAAATGGAAAAATGAAGAACATATCTCAGTAGCGGAGTTTAGAAATTTTCAAAGGTATAAATGGTTTTACAAGCACGAGCCAGATTTGCATTTTCATACAGTGAAATGCTCTACAAACCTGTAGAAGATAGAATGAGTCTCCAAAAAGTTTTACCTTGAACGAGAGTCGAACATTTAAGTTGTGTAGAATCTTCAATGCAACAATGTATAGCAAAGTTCACAACATGTCAGATATTCGATACAAAGTGTGGTTATCTAATAAAATTTCTCCTCAAATTAGGAAACTCCCTCCGACAACAGAGGCATTTGAACTACATATAAAACGATGCCATTTGCAAGCTTGCATTTGGAACGCAGCAGCATCTCCGTTTTCTCCACCCTTGAATCCAACACACTCTTTGGTACC